GCTGAGAATCCACTCAGTCCACGAGGCTGGATGTCCAAGTAGTCCCAATCTGGTGCTGAAAGTCTGATGGATTACAAAAGACTGGCCACAAGACAAACTCACCAGTGAGAGAGAAGGCGAGCAACAAGAAGCCCGGTGTTCTCCTCTACCATGGCCTTTTATACGGGCTGCCATCAGAAGGTAACTCCCACATTTAGGGTGTGTCTTCTTGCTTTAGAAGATCCGATCAAGAAGATCTTTTTCATTTCAGTTAATCCCAGATCCAATCAAGTTGAGTCCACCCCTTGCCATAGCGTCTCTCTATGTCATGCTTAATTTTCAAATGAAAACAATGTTGAGGTCATAATTTCACCTAACATGATATAACTATCTCATCATACAATGACCAATGCATTATATATCTTACAGTAGGTGATAAGGTCTTCGAGGAATGCTTAGTCCTTTAGTGTCTCATAACCCAATATAATCATATAGGTTCACAACACTTAACCACTTAACACATCTCGATTACATATTCAAAAAAGAATAACTCAAGTATCTGCTTAACATGTGTATACATGCACAAGCCTATTCTTAACCAAATAGGACAAAAATACTCATGTCAATTACAATCCATGTCTCTGCAACTGGTCACACGGCCCAAGTTGATATTTGCAACTACCTTCCTCTACAACCCATTCTGTATTTCCTCCACCATCAGCAAGCACCTCTGCAGGTCTTGGCTCTTTCCCTGGAGGAATGACCCACACTTTCATCCCTGAAGGGTCTGGGCCATTTGTTGTCCTGTCTGGATTTTGTTGTTGCAGTTTCCCATTGACCTTAACCACAGGACATAGTAACACCAAAAATCACCCTAAGGAATCTCCTGCATTCCAGATATAATCCTCATTACCTCCATTGTGGAGAACAAGTCCAATTTCCCCCTGGTAGTCCAGGTCAATCACCCCTCCTAATACTGTTATTCCTTCCTTAGCCTGCTGACTTAAGGGCATCAGAAGCCCAAAGTGTCCAGGGGGAAGTCTTAGCTTCCAGTTCAAAGGAATGTTTGTTGTGTCTCCTGGCAGAAGCACTACCTCCTCTGGAACCAAACCTTCTAAGCCAGCAGAGCACAAAGTAGAGGATACAGGAAGCAAAAAATTTTCCTAGTGGGTCACTAGGGGTGATACTGAGTAGAATCATTCCCACTTCCACCCCTTGATTCCTGGACTCGTGAATCCTGGCTATAGGAGAAACAGTACCACATATTGGACGCTTATTCAAAGCATATACTGCCTTCTGGAGGACCCTGCCCTAGCCCTCCAGGCTATTGCCACTTAATTGGCACTGTAATTGTGTCTTTAAGAGGCCATTCCATCTGTTTATCAAGCCAGCTGCTTCAGGATTGTGGGGAACATGGTAAGACCAGTGGATTCCATGACCATGGGCCTACTGTTGCACTTCTTTGGCTGTGACATGAGTTCCCTGGTCAGAAGCGATGCTGTGTGGAATACTATAATGGTGGATAAGGCATTCTCTAAGTTCCTGGATGGTAGTTTTGGCAGAAGCATTACGTGCAGGAAAGGCAAATCCATAACCAGAATAAGTGTCTATTCCTGCAAGGACAAAGTGCTGTCCCCTCCAAGATGGAAGTGGTCCAATGTAAAACCTGAAACCATAAAAAACACTAGAAGATAAGCTAGGAAATACCTAAAAATAGGCTTGTAATGGAGAAAGCATTTTTAACTTTGACAAAACTGCAAAACTGCAAAGGAACTGTATTAGGGTTCTCTAAAGAAACAGAACCAGCAGAATGAATATGAATATATATACATATATATATATGAATATATATATATATATATATTGGATTTATCATATTAGCTCACAGGATAGAGTCTGAGTAGTCCAACAATGGCTGCACCACACTGGAGAGGCTGAGAATCCGTAGTCGCTCAGTTCAAAAGGCTGGTTGTCTCAGTAGTCCCAATCTGGTGCTGAAGGTCAGCCTGGGCTACATAGTGAGTTCCAGTCCAGTCAGAACTACATAGCATGATAGTCCTAAAACAACAGGGGGAAATAAAGACTGGGATATAGCCCAGCTCTTTTAAAAAATATTAATTAATTAATTTATTTATTATTTGTGTGTGTGAGCCTGTAGAGGCCAGAAGCGATCGTCAGATCCCCTGGAACTGGAGTTACAGGCAGTTGTGTTGCCCAGTAGGCGCTAAGCACTGAAACCCAGTTGTCTGCAAGAAGAGCAAGCACTCTTAACTGCTGAGCCGTCTCTCCAATTTGTAACTAGTTCTTAGTGTGCTTGCCAAACACACAGGAAGCTCTGGGTTTGATCTGACCACGGTGACACATGTGAGTAACCCAGTATTTGAGAGACAGAGAGAAGATCAGAAGTTCGAGGCCAGCCTAAGCTACATAAGACCCTGTCACAAAACAATTTTTTTAAAAATGACTCCTGGGTTATTTTGGGAACATTCCTTTGGTATTTTTCTGTGAGGGAGCAGAGAGGTGTTTTACTTTTGCTTTTTGAAAAATATTTTACTTATTATTTTTTATTTTATGTGTATGAATGTATTGCCTGTATGTATGTAAGTGTATCCCTATCATGCAATGCCTGAGGAGGTTAGAGGGGGCACTGGATCCCCTGGAACTTGAGTTACAGACGGTTGTTAGCCAACATGTGGGTGCTGGGAATCAAACCCAGGTCCTCTGCAAGAGCAGCTAGTACTCTTAACTGCTGAGCCATCTCTCTAGCTCCTTTTTCTTTTATTTTCATTTTAGAGCCAAGACAAGGATTATTCCATCCTTTGGGAAGTCAGAAACTAAAGCCAAGTGACCAAGAACCAGAGTCACTGCAGCAGTGTAGTATTACCCTAGCATTTCAATCTTTCCTGGTGTCTGAAACTGGTTGCTGGTCTATGTAACAGGAGCTCTAGAGGACACTGGGTGTTCCCTGGAAACCCTGTGTGGACACGTCCATACAAGTTGCTCATGTGCCTACTCTTTTCACTGGCATAGTGTTGGGAGAACAAGGTTCTGTGGCCTTGGGGACTTTGTAGGTTATATGCAAGTCACAGACCTCTCTGTACTTCCACAGCTGAGTTTGGGAAAGATGATAAATAAATAACTACAGACTATTTACTAAAGGCTTGATACTGTCCTTTACATGCGAATTCATTTCATATTTTTTAAATTAATAAAGCATTGTAAAAATCAGTTTTTCACAGCAAAATCAAGTGGAAAGTACAGAGCTCCTATATGCCCTTTGCCCTCCATCACCCCCCACTATCAACATCACACACCAGAGCTTGCTGCAATCATTTAATCTACATTGGCACATCACAATCACCCTAAGTCTACAGCATACATGAGGTTCACTTTTTCTTTTTTTTTGACAGAGTCTTACACATACAGGCTGGCCTGGAACTTGCCTCCAGCCTCTACCCAACAAGTACTGGGATTACAGGCATGTGCCACCATATCCAGCTGAGGTTCACTCTTGGTGATATATAATCTGTGGATTTGGACATGTGCATAATGACATGTATTCGCCATTGTAGGACCATACAGGATAGTTTTACCACCCTGAAACATTCTCTGTGCTGTACATGTCTGACCCTCCCTCTGCTCTAGCTTCTGCCACCACTAATCTTTTCACCATATCCATAGGAACCTCACTAGTTTCGTCTTTTCCAGAACAACATATCATTGGAATCACTTTTTCCAGTTGATTTCCTTACCCTTAAGTATGCATTTAAGGTTTCTCCATGTCTTTTCATGGCTTGGGAAGCTCATTTCCTTTTTGTGCTGAATAATATTTCATTGTCTAGATGCCCCACATCTTATGATCCATTCACTTACTGAAGATCATCTTCGTTGCTTCCAAGCTTTGGCAATTATGAATGAAGCTGTTATAAAGTCATACACGGGTTTTTGTGTGGACATTTTCAATTCATTTGGGCAAATACCAAGAAGCTGTTAAGTTTTGTAAGAAACAGTTTTTCTAAGTACTGTGCCATTTTGTACTCCTACCACCAATGAATGGGAATTCAGGTTGCTCCATATCCTCACCAGAGTTTAGCATCAAGGTTTGAATTTGGGTCACCCTCCACCCCATGCTGGGGGATGAACTTGGGGCCTTGTGGGTTCTAGGCAAGCCTCTTAGAGCCCCGAGGGAGCTTTCAGACCAAGCCAGTAGTGGCCTGTTTCCACCCTGGGGTAGATATTCTTGAAATATCCCCTTGGGCATGGCAGGCAGTACCTTACCTGGACTGAGCCATTTGGTACCATCCCACAGAGATCTGTGTGTTCCTCTGCAGAGGCACTCTGGGAGGAGGTGGCCAGCAAAATTCAGTTACTGCTCAACACAGTTACCCTGACCAAGGCCAGGAATATCCAGTGCCTGCCTTGGGTAGAAGTTCAAAATATTCAGTAGGACCCGCTGGTGTCCGCTGTGGGCGGTGCCACGCAGCACCTTCCGGGCATGCCCCGCAGCTTCCAGAGGTCAGTGCGGACAGAACCTTCAGGCGGGCCTCTGAGCCCAGCGAAATTCAGTTACTGCTCAACACAGTTACCCTGACCAAGGCCAGGAATATCCAGTGCCTGCCTTGGGTAGAAGTTCAAAATATTCAGTAGGACCCGCTGGTGTCCGCTGTGGGCGGTGCCACGCAGCACCTTCCGGGCATGCCCCGCAGCTTCCAGAGGTCAGTGCGGACAGAACCTTCAGGCGGGCCTCTGAGCCCAGCGCCGACCCTGTAGGGCA